AATCCTTCACAGATGTTGTTTGAAGCCTCCAGAAAATTGATTTGCAACAGAAAACTGTACTAAAAGAACACCTCACCGCGGTGAAAAGTCACTGTAATTTCTATCAACTTTATTTTCAGAAACACACTGATAAAAAGCAAAGTCTTGAAACACGAATTTGTCCTAAATTCTATCAAAATATCTCAAAGCCCTTCCTACCTTCAAAACCATAACTGCTTGGCGACACAAGAATACAAGGATACGGGATAGGAGAAAAAAAGAAAATAGATAAATAATAAGTCTACACACTAACTTTAATTATGATGCATGCCTGAAAAAATAATAATTCATAAACTTCTAGTAAGGTGCTGATAATGTGAATGACACTTGCTCCTAAAAAATCTAAAAGATTTATGAAAATGCAAACCAATTCGATAAACAGTACTGTTCTAACCCTTTTTTTGTATAGAAAAGAAGAAAGATCAAGTCATTAAAACAATAGGTTCACCAGACGTCTAAAACGTAAATTTGGTGTAGAATTAAAAAAACTTTTTAAAAACACGAAGGAACAAAACGACAAACAGCCTTCAAATACAAAAGAAAAATATATAAGTCCAATCAATACAGAAATATTCACATGTCTTTTCGCCAGTTCACCCTCCAGTTTTGAATAGCACAACTTAAACTGAATTCAAAAGCCCTCTGCAGTAAGATGCGTTAGAAACAAAAGCATCTCACGATTGAAGAGACAAATCAAAAACGTGAACTAGTAAGAGCCAGAGCAAGAATGTTACAGCACTATTCAAGGAAAAAGAAAAAAAAAAAAAAAAAAGAACACATAATAATATGCTCAATTTAATACCTCCTCTTACATACTGTTACCACGCACCCAAACCGGCATTCTTTATTCAACACAGTTCAGCTGCGGTACTTGTTTTGCCATGCTCTCCAACAGTCGATTTTGGTGCTAAAAAATCCGGGCTCAAGATTAACTTTATCCGCTCAAATTATTGAACAAAAAATAGTCTATTGGCCATCCCTAAACCGCCATAATCGAAGCGGTTACACTGAGTGCGTACACCAATCTCGGTCAACGCATGGCAAACATGCGACGACAAGCCCCTTATCTTTCAGATTTAAAAACTGAATTTTTAAATAATTCTATTGTACTGCGGAAAAAACAATAGTGAATTGCAAGTAGAGACGAATCCCCTCTATCAAAAAATTAAATAATTAATAAATTAAGTAGAATACAGGCAGAATAATCAATGACGAAAAAATCGATCAACTAAACCCACACATTTGGTGTTTAGGGGGTCTAAAGAGCGCAACGCGTCCGCCTTTGGGCGATGTGAATAGGCGCACCATTTCTTCGATCTTCTGTAAACAACCGGCAGCATCTTTTTAATGTTTAAGTTGCTGTTTATTATTCATACAAAAAAAAAATCTGCATTTCTGGCGCTATTTTAAAACTGTCAACCGAGCTGAAAAAGTGAAGGATTTTTGCACTCCTCGCTCATTTTAGAGGACAGCGACTCATAACGACGAACCAGTAGCTGCACCAAATTAACCAGCAGACTCCGCCTATCCATTAATGCACAGCGTACATCTCTCCAAATAACAAAACGAACAGCCAAGCATGAGATAAAAATCCAAGAGTCTTCTTTATCTATTTTTTCTGAGTTGTGCTGTGACAGAGGAATGTCAACAAAGAAAAATTCAAAACGGCAAAATAACCAGCTAAGTTTTTAAACCCAAGTTTTACCTTACAAATAAGTATTTATGTAAAGAGTACAGAACATTTTTTGAAATGATTATTTCCTCAAAATGTGGATTATACAAATAAGATGAAAAAAAGACAAATAAGATTACCCATTTTTCAACTGTTCCATTATTCAACTTCACTTTCCTTCCAGCTTCGCAAAACAAGGCTTCAACAACAACACCTCGTAAATACATATAAAAATAAACACAGTAATTCCGTCAGCAAAAAGTCCTATCCAGAACTTCTTGAGGAAGAAGAGAAGAAAAAAGAGCTAAAACAATTTTAAGTAAATGTTTCATGAAAATAGGTGCTTCTCGGAAAGTGACAAAAGACCAGTCTTTTTTTTCAAGTTTTACCCAAGATATAACACGTACGCATCTACCGACTGTAAGTTCCTACAAGTAGGCAGTGAACGGAGAAAAAAAAAAATCAAGCCAGTAACCAAAAAAAGCTTTTATAAACGAATTAGGCGAACCAATTAACATAGAACTCCACGTCGGCATCACTGCAATAATAAACACTATTTTAAACTTCTGCAGGCACTGACTACTGGTGTCATTTGGATATACGCACATTTCAAGTGCAATCACAAACTACCTTCCACTTGAAATAAAATGCTGAAGAATGAGTATTTAAAAATAAGTTATCACAACACTCAGATCTAAAATAAGACTGCCAACAACCCCGTCATTTTGAAAAACTAAAAGAGAAAGCGTTACAGGATGATGCAAGGAGACAAAAACGAGTAATCAGGGTGACGTCAAAAATCCGAAACGTGCAATCGCTGCTCCTTAAAGACGCCTTGACTTGTTGGAATATTGCCAGAGAAACGGCTTCGACATTCGATAGCCGCATAAGGCGCGTTTATAGGCAACGATGTTTTACAGACTGCGACCATTAGTTGCCGAGTAGGGCACCAGAAGTTTATCGGGTACTGCTAGCTAGCTGTCACGTTGTCTGTTAATGCACCGAACGCTTATACATCGAGGTACAAGAACGAAGAAGCTAAAAAATTCCATTAAGTGGTTCGATGAGTACGAAATTTTTGTCTACGGAGGTTTGTCACTATGAAATATGACAAAATTAGTGTGTACAAACAGTGTATGTCATAAGTTCCGCATTAATTACTTAAATAAGAGGCACAGGGTTTTGCGGTAGAAAATTCTGATACAGATAATTGAATCTAAAACCTTATAACTATTTATTTATTTATTTATTTATTTATTTACTTCTCTGCCTAAATTTATATTACTGCCGTTGTTCAATGAACGCACCAACTGCATTTTTTGCACTTTTCTACATTAGTGGTAGTTTATGCAATGGTTCTCCAGTGAACATTTTCTAATGGTAATTACTAAATCCTTTGTAGGAAATAGGGAGGAATACACCTACCTCCCAAATAACTTTAAAAAAAAAAAAAAAGGAGAAGATTTTAGGGATGATAAGCTTTCTGGCAGTGTCAGAAAAGTAGAGCAAAATTAATTGATCTTGATACTAATGGTCGATCTCAGAAAGTTAATTGTCACCTTCACCAAAATTGATTTTTTCAAAGTTATTGGTTCCTTTTAACGTATCAGTTGTATGGTCGGATAATTAAGTTGGCAGCTATTCTTTGATATCAGAATGATTGAGCAGCACTTGGCGTAGTTCCACGGAGTTTTGAAGCGATTACCCACAGTTGTCGGGTTTGGTTTATCGACGGGATCATCATGTGCAGATGCCGAGCTTAAGATTCTATAACTATTAGATCTTTCAAAGATCTGATAATCAGATTATTTTAAACTGTATTATAACTTGAGTTTGATACAGATTTCAATTGTTAAAATAACATAAACGGTATGAAGCTTTTCATTAGTAAATTAATTACGGCACACGCTACGTCAAATGTTTGCTGACGATTGAAGATTTTACAAATTAACTGAACAGTTTAATCGTTTTAAGAATTCCCCTCTTGGATTTAGTGGGTGAATTTGAAGCATAAAAAATGGATGGATTCAATATATATTTTAGCCAGTCAATGAAAAGCTGTAGAAAGTTTTAAAAGACTGAAGAAAGAATATAGCGAGAACGAACTAGCGGCTAGTTTAAATATAGGATTTAAGGCTGGGTGATAGGGCCGACAAATTGCCCTGTAGTAAGTACTAATTTGGAGCCATTTGAGCAATACTCTGAAGGGTGCCGGACTAAATTTGGCTAATCTCTGCTCACACGATTACTTCTGCGTGTGTTCAAGTTTTCCTGACTTCGCTCCAATGAAATGTCACTTGTTACTTTGATCTATCATGAACCGAGTACCGCTTCTTCTACAAAAAGCTATTTTATTTGCGTAGATGAAACGGTAATAATGGGGCTGTGTCGATGGAAATGAGGCTCTGATTTTGGTAAATATCCAGAAAATTTGAAGAAATGCAATCAACTTGCTTTGTGAACGATGATCAGTTTGGTGTTAACTAAAATCTTTTAAAGCAGTGAGGAATGATATTCAAGTTATACTCATCGTTTTCTAGACGTAGTTGGAAGTGCCATTTTTACTCTTACTTTACGTCCCTCTGAGGTTTCATTTTCGTCATTATATATTTTAAGATTTTTAATTCAGCCAGAAGGAACTGTCTTCCTTTACCTAACGTTTGGAACCCATTTTCTGTTTACTCTCACGCACTGATTTCTTTTTTCTTTCATGAAACATTTATTGATTATATTTCGTACTATGATCACAGTTCTGACAAGACAACAGTGGTATCAAATACAAAGAACATTGAGAAACCCGTAAATTATGAAAATAGATCTAGATTGCTCATAGTAATACAGTTTAGCGATGTTAGATTGCCCAGATCCAGACAGGTTATCACTGCAGTTTAAAGTTGAAAACGGCAGTTTTTGTTTGAACTGCTCCTAATTATATTTTTGATAAGACGGAGGGATGAGGGAAACAGGAAAGTATTGGACGAGGAAGAAAGCGAGTCAGCTTCAAATTGAAATAACTTTAAAAGGGAGTACCGAGAAAAAAAAAAAACGAGAATATAGTAATACAGACTTTGGCCTTAGAAAGTGATATAAAATTTTGAAAATGGCCAGGAGGTTTTTTCTAGGTACAGTAGCAGTATTTATAAGTCGATTAGAATTTTAAAAAGTAATACAGATAGGCATAAAATATTCTTAAACTTGTAGTAGTTTGAGGGTGAATCACTGCTGAGCTGCTTCTGTTCTTTGTTTGCTGCCCTATCGCTGTGGTCGCTGTTATGCTGAGGACTGTTCCGAGAAATAATCCTGCTAGAATCGCTAGGTCTACCCGTATTATCTTCAATGTATCTTGCCGCATTGTTGCCGTTAGCGCCAAATGCCTCCTGATAAAAATCATCGTCTGGGAAGTAGGCTCTTTCCTCATCACTGCTTAAAGTGCCCTGACTTTGCATAAGCTTGACCTGATGATAGGCTTCTCTAACTGCCTCTTCGTGGCCCGGATGTTTCAGCAACTCTTCTAGTGAGGTGATGTACGCATCGCCGACATTGATATGGAATGTGAAGTTTTTTTCAGCCATCTAAACATTCCATTATTCTGTCAAATCTGTTCAAATGATTGAAAATATATTAAATTATTGTTTTTTAGTCTTCTTTATCGTCTTTATCTATGGTTCGATAGAAGTTATTAACAAAACTGAACAGGGTCTTTCTTTGTTTTTGTTCGTTCGATACATGAGCACCATAAATCTAAAATCCTATTAAAATTCTTTAAATACCATTATCTTTTAATGAAAAAGAATTTTTTTTCTGAATAATTTGGAATTCTTGCACTTCAAACAATTTTTGAAGGTGGAGCTGCTTTTTTTGGATGTATTTTTTAGGTCACAAATAGGTCAAGTTTGAAATTTAAAGGTCACCTCAAAGAGCGTGTTAATCATTGTTTCCAAATCGACCTCGTCTTTTTCCGAAGTTTCAGAGTGTTGTTGTTCATCGTGCCCTTCAAAAGGATTCTGTGGCTGATCTGGGTCAGAGTCATTTCTTTTGGAAACTGGGCTCCAGTAAATGTGTCGCGATCTCTCATCTAGAAGTGATGTACATGAATGGTCAAAATTAACTTAGCTTACATTTTAGGAGGTCAAAAAGAAAATCTTATCTTTTAGTTCAATCAAAGGGGAGTACGTTGACTTTCTTTTTTCTTTCTTTCTCTCTTGTCAGGTGTTTTAGAAAAATAATTTTGTAACATCAATTTTGGCAGTCGAAGAAGTTCTTTTTTTTTTTTTTT